ACTATGGCAGCTCATCTTAAAACTTCAAAATTCAGCCTACAATCACTCTCATAATCCTAGCTTCGAGAAATTATTTTGTGCGGACACCGGAGAGGGAGAACTTTCTGAATTTGCTGCGCTTTTACTGTCCTTTTGCTGGGTTTTTATAAAATGACAGTAAAAGGACAACAAATATTCAATAATGAATGTGTTTTTAATGCTCTTTTGTTGTGTTTTTGCAAATACTCAATAAATGTGCATCAAATATTCAGTTATTGAGTAAATATTAAATATTTGCTGCCCTTTTACAGCTATTTTGTAAAAGCACAATCGCAATAAATCCGGACGATTCTCTCCATCATGTATCCACACATAATAATTAGTCCCTAACTTGGCCCACATTATTGAGTATGTTTTGACTTCCAAGTACCCTGATTTAAATCTTTCTAGATTTCCTTTAGATAAAATCCCTCATGCTTTCAATGTCATTGACTTTTATCCCCTTTTGTAGCTTGATGATAGTGCTCGTCATTCCCGTCCCTCATTCTGTAGATCATCCTCATACACGTTCGATCGCATAGATGAAGCTTTATAGATTCTGCAACGTGTTGATCCCTGCATCAATTGGATGGCCCGACATTGTCTGGGTGACATTCTAAAAACGAGAAAAAATTAGAATCATTAATAATGCTTGCTTTATTGTTCTGATATAGCATAAGATGCATCTTCATTTACTTGATAGATGGGATCATTAGTAATACAGTCATAAGCATTCCATCTATCATATATAGGGTTAACAAAAGGGTTATATTTCATCATTAATTCATTCTCATCTATGATGCATAGACACGGACACGGCGACACGAATACGACATGACGGGACACATTAATTATTGAAAATATAGGACACGGATACGGGTTGGACACGGTATTATAGTTTTATATTTTAAAAATAGTGTAAAAATTTAAATAAGTATAATTTTAAAAATAATTTAGAGATAATAAGTCATTTAATTAGAATTTATGCTTAAAATGATTAGTATTAGAATGTCGAGAGACAGGCCTCGATGCCGTTTATTAGTCACCGAGATAGGAGTTGAAAATACCATCATTGCCAAAGAGAAATGAAAATGAGAATTTTCGATGAATGGGTATTAAGTGCGGACGTTGATTTGATGTTGTGGATAGAAAATAAGAAATTTTATTTAAATCCCGCCAAATGCAAGAAATTATATTTTTAAAAAAATCATAAAATATCTATGATATATATGTGTGTGTGTCTAATTTGTATTTAATATTTTTTTAATCGGACACATTTTCGGCATGTCCGACACGTGTCGGAGGAGTGTCGGACGAATGTCATGTCGGATACATGTCGGGCACTGCATGCCTCTTTGAGGAGAAGTGTCGGTGCATCATAGATTCTCATGTGCCCTTTTTAATTCAACTTGAATTAACTGAACCAAAATTCTAGCCAGGTTTTTCTTTAAATCATTTCTCTCTCCTTATGAGTTTTTCAAATACCCTAATCATCTCTCACTAACTCTTTGTTTGAGATTTGATTATCATCGTTAAAGTTTGATTATGCTCGGCTCGACAATTAGTTCGAGTTCAACTTATTTTTGTAAGCTCGTATATTAATGAGCCAAATACAAACAAGGTCTTGTTTGATTGTGTTTGGCTCAATAGTAGCTTTACTAAATATATGCATGTTTGTATGATTATTTATATATATTTGTGTATGTGGAAGTATATATGAATAGATTGTATGCATTGATAATCTAAATATAAATTATATTCATATATACATGTGTGAAATCAGGTACATTTCATTATTTAGATATGACTTTCAAATAGATTTTATGTTTGCCAAAAATTAGTTTTGGAGTCATAATTTAATGAGTTGAGCAAAACAAAGCTGAGCTCGCTAAAAGCTCATCAAATATTACTCGACTTAGGCTTCGTTTTGGACGGCTTTTTATTGCTTTTTAAAACAGAGTTTTAGTACAAAATTAAAAAAATTTGTACTAAAACGGCCGTCCCAAACCAAGCCTTAGTTGACTCACTCTTAAATCTTCACGGAAGCTTGCTTGTTTTAGTTGCAAAGCTTGTTCTTGAATGCTCTTTCTTGGTTAAAAAAAAAACGGTGAGAATGACTAAAAAAAAAAAAGATTAAGCTTGAGATGAATTCAATATAAATTATTTATGTATAAAATTAATCTCAAATTCTGTTATAATTTACCTTAGGTTTTTTGAAATAATTTTTTTCGTCTAATATTTGAGATTAATTTAACGGATGATGTCACTTCACTCAAAGACCTGATACACTTTAAATATATTATTCATTCATCTAATGAAGAAAATTTATAGGGACCTAACAATAAGCGGAACTTAAGGGTCAAAATAAATTAATTTTATAAGAGAGAAATAATATGAAATAAGTATGATATTTTAGGTAGTGTTGTAAGGTGAAATATTGTGTTCGAATTGAATATCTCATCACAGTGAGTTTAAAAATAGTTTTTTTTTTTAAAGATTAGCAGAATATTAAATTTTCATAAATAATTTTAATTGCAAGTTAAATTTAAAGATTTTCAAACTCATTTTATTATTATATTATATTATTATTTGTTGGAATTTGTAGATTTTTGTAATTTCGGCTTGTTGTGAGATTTAGGGGTGTCAAAAATTGACACGACCTAAAACTTGATCAGGAAAAATTTGGGTTTGGGTCAACCCGTTTGTGAAACAGGTCGGTTTATTTTCGGATTTTTTACCTGTTTGAAAAATGAGTCAGGTTCGGGTTGACCTGGAAACCCGCAGGTTAACTCGAAATGGCCAGCTTAGTTTGTTTCTTAGGCGTCCGCGTAGTCCTGTCCGCCCATTGGTCACACTCACATCCCGGCACCTTCGGCATGCGACCTCACCGGCTCACCGCACTCAGGTTGAGGCGTCAAGCCTTGCCTCTGCAGCTCTGCTCCGCCGGATGCCAGTCCAATGAGTCCATCACGTGCCTCATCCAGTCTGAAGGTCTGACGACTCTGACATAGCGTTGTGCCGTTGTCCCGCACTCGCACACCTCCGCCAGTGCAAGTCCTACGACTCCGCACACTCCCTGCGGCCACGGCCATCTATCGTTGTGTCGTTGTCGCCCACTTGCGCTATCACACACCTCCGCTAGTCCGTCACTGCACTTGCGGGTTTGTGGGTCAGGTCAGATCAACCCGGTAACCCGCACGGATCGAGTCTGGGTTGAAAATTTTCACCCATTTAGTTAAACGGGTCGGGCTCGGGTCAACCCGTTTATGCCCGGATCAACTCGGATTGGACCCGAATAGATTATCACTTATGATTTGAGAATACCACTCATCTCACAAACTGTTCCAACTTCCAATGTACTCAATCCCGTAAAAGAACTTTTCTTTTGTCCTTTTCTCTCATTTAAAAAAAATGAGGATGCATTAAAAAATCGTATCTTTCAGTCTTTCCTCATGTCTCCCATCAGGTCATTACCCATCCAACTTATTGTCATATCAAAAAAAACGGCATATTCTTAATATCTACCATAATTTCCCCTTTTTTGATAGGATTATTGGCCTACTTAAGAGCTTAGCAAAAATTTCTGAAGCTTCACATCTCGTATCTTTCATCAAATGCATAGATCTTCCGATTTCAGCAACCATCATAAATCTAATAAAGAAATGCAATAATTTCCAAAAAAAATTGTATTAATCTATATGATTATTTTGAGTGTGAACATTTCAGAAGGATAATAACATAACTGCTTTGAAAAATTATTTGACGAACAATTATATTTTTTTATACTAATCACTCTCATATTAAAGATTTTGAATGACTTATATATAGTCCCAAATCTTAGTATTTACCCCTTTCAATCATATTCTTAGTACTACTTATTTCATTATGATATCAAGGCATTATTTTTATTTGTCATCATGTCTGATAATTATGTGAATAATGCATGGTTTAACAAATATAAAACTTTTTGATAATAAAGACATTCTTTTTGTTTGTCCTGTTTATTTTAATCTTTTGATTATGACCCTTAGTCATTATTAAAATTGTTAAAACCAAATGTGTTTATCTATCATATCTGATAATTATGAATATAAAAAATGTGGTGGTTGCTCTCCTCTCCGTTTTCTTCCTTGGCATAATCAAACACATTGGCTCAAATTCTACTTGGAGGTGTTAAAATGAATTTTGGAATCAAATTTGGGTCAAAGTCTAAATTCGCTTGCTTTTAATTGATTAGATTTGAACCCAACTTGATTAGACAAACAAGTCAAAAATTTCGATCCGAATCTATCCCGTGGAGATTACCTGACCTAACCTACCAACGGTCAAGTTCTCAATCCAAGACATCAAAATCACTACTTGCCTTTTCTTTCCTTTCAAGCATTCACCTACTTTAAAACAAGCTCAAGAAAACAAATACATTTCCCTACATATGGAGAAATTATTTAGCATGATCTGCATGCATAACTCTATATGAGGAATACAGGAATATGTAATAACCTTTTGTATATTGAATATGTAATTACATATTCATCGTGTATTTATTTTTTTGAAGTGTGTCACAAATGCACATATTTGTCATGCGCATTTTTTATGTGCTCCATAAAAAATGTGTATAATGATATACTTTGATGATATTTCAATATGTATATAATCTATATAATTTCTCTTATATTTTATAGGCCAATTTAAGCTTTGTTTGGGATGATTATAATTTTCTTAAGTAACTTTCTAATATAATTTTTTTAATTATTTTAAAAAATAATAAAAAAATGAAGCCTTAATTTCGCACCATTTAAATTTTTTTTGTGATAGCTTTATTATTACTTTTTAAAACAACTTTTTAATTAAAAAAATTAGTACAAAAAATTTTTATAATAAAAAATTATCTGAAACGAAAACTTAGTTTTCTTCTATATGGTTCTTTCATTTCTCCTATTCAGTCTTATTTACAGCAAAACATTGGGAAGAAGCAGAAATAATAATAATAAAAGATAGTACTACAACATAAACAAATGCAAAATCAAAGTAATTTTTTTCAAGCTGCTACATTATCTTATATAATCTTAACTGCAAATATATTATCAGAAATAAATAACATAAAACCAAAAATTGAAAAAGGATGGAAGCTGCAGTTCATGCTTATGGCCAAACAGCAGCAGTTGATGAGTATGAGAGAAGAGTAAGCCAAGAATCTAAGGCTTAGTTTATGACGGCTTTCTTAATGTTTATTAAAGCAGCTTTTTAGTATAAATAATTTATTTTTTTAACTAAAAAATTATTTTAAGAAGCAGAAAGAAAGCCATCCCAAATAAAGCCTAAATTTAGGATTCTCTAAGCAGCTGCTGTTTGGATCTCACTAGCTGCTTCAAATGTCTCTCCAACAAGCTCAGGAACGTCCTCGTCCTCGTCTTCTTCCAGGATAACGCCACCAGCTTCGCTAATACGACCAGGTGGATGTTTCTGGAACTGCTCTGCAAGCTTCTTGATGTTTTCCAAATTATCAGGTCCTGAAGCAAAAAATAAAAATAAAAATTCAGGACATCTCCGACATAATTTAATTTTAACAATTTTGTTATTAATTTTATAAACCATATTTGTTTATTTTTGTCTCTTTTACCTTTTTTTTAAATAAACAAGTTATTTTTTAAATTTTTTTTTTTTTGGATAAAATAAGGGACTAGCCCATAAAAAATAATTACAAAGGCCAAAGCCTCAATACAATAGATGCAATAAAAAAAGTTTTTAAGCTTGGGGAGCGCAATTAAGGAATCATCAATAAAATCCAGTACTTGAGATACATTCAAATGGAGCAGGAAGAGCGGTGAACATACGAAGAATTGAGGTTAATATAGAAAATGAGACCTCGCATTCAAAAAAGAGGCGATTGATACTTTCAAGTCCCATTACATAGATTGCTTGAGGGGGTTTTAACCATGATGTTTCTGCTTCTGAGAACTCAAAGCATATTATTTATGGAAATTTTATATTCCACTAATTTCAAAAGAAATTTAATTATTTTCAAACTCACTTTGATGAGATATTTAGACACAATTTTTCAACTTACAACACTGTACCTAAAATATCATACTTATTTCATATTATTTCTTGCTTATAAAAAAATTTATTTAGACCCTTAAGTTCCGCTTATTTATTTGGGGGGTGGGATCGTTCGGTCGGCCAAACAAGTGGAAGCGAGAGACGGGAGTACACACTAGTGTGAGGATTGGAGAGTGTTTCGAACGCAAGATTTCGCCACTTCGGTCGGACAGGGTTGTTGAACCTCAATCGAAGCAGAGGCGAAGTTGGCTTGGTTTTGTCCAGTCACAGAACGGGAATCGCACTCGCAGGCGGAGGATTGGAGGTGTTCGAGATTGGAGATGGTTGATTGGTGTCTTAAAACAGGATTGCAAGAGGGTTCACAGGTCGGGTCAACTCGGCAACACAAGCGAGGCGGTCCGGATTGTAAATCCTGACCCATTGGCTAAATAGGTCGGGTTCAGGTCAACCCATTTACGCCCAGGTCAAGGCAGGTTGGACCCAAACCTGACCCGTTGACCCGAATTGACATCCCTAAACTTGGTAACCCGACGGGTCGAGTTCGGGTCTAAATTTCTGATATTCACAAAACTAGGTCGAGTTCGGGTCAATTGAATTAGACTCATATCAATTTCGGGTTTGACCGGAACCCGACTCGAACTTCCATTTTGACACCCCTATGTAAGATATATTCTTCAAATTATTTAACCTTACTATTTAGAGATAGGTCTGAGGGGTTCGTGTTTATCTCAAAACAAGATGCTTGTCGAAACGCTAAGTCTTTCATATGTAGAGATAAGAGTAAGGAGCTCCAATTTTTCTTTTTAATACGCTCCTTCAACAACTTCAGTTTATGTAGGGGTTAATAGGGTCAATACTACTATTAGGGTTGAAGGCATCCCAAAATTGAGGCATTTTAGCCCAATAATTGTTGAATTTAAATGTGTTTAAGATTGGGCAGTTGGTAGGTATGAATGATTAGAGGAGAGTGGTTAGAACTTTTAGGGCTTTTTAACTCTATAAAAAGAGGTAGGGAAGGTGTCAAGCCAAATATTGTTGACAAGTACTCTGTCAAGCTTTATATGAATAGGAGAGTCACTTTTGCTATTAAACCAAGTAATATAAAGACTCATAGAGGTCAAGTACTAAAAATCATGTTATTAAAATCACATAACCTACTGTTAGATATCAAGTTCCCTCCTTTTTCTCTTTGTGATGTCTGTAGCAATAGAAGTCTACCAAGACAAACCCAAGATTTAAGGCCAGAGGTAACATACGAGCGAGCAGATGTTTCTAAGAGCATCCCATAAAGAGGAAGAATGATGTAGCATTACCAAAGAGAACTTCCCCATGAAAGAATTGACTAGCATAAATTTTGTCAAATTGTATGAGAGAAGCATTCCACTTCAACCAAATCCTTCCCGGATTTGACATAGAGAAATTGTTACAGCTACCTTCATTGTGAAATCATCAATGGTTATGCACAAACCATAGGTTAGAAAGTTGGAGGCATTAATTTTTGCCTCAAGAATACATACGAGGTTAAGCTTGTAGGAAATGATAACATTAAAAACTCTGTCGAGCCCATTGAAGCTTCTCACAATCGAAGAGGCAAAAGATATGGAATTCATTTGGATTTTGAGTTTTTGTGCGAGTTGGTTTCAATGGAGCTTGTGGAGATATTAGGTGTGTTAGCAAGATTGGAAGAGTTATTTGTTGAATAATTTGGTTGTGCTATCATGCATCAAAGAAGGAATTAGGTTGGTTACAGGGCCTTGGTTTTTTTGCTTTGGCTTCTACCCTTGGGGCTTGGGAGAGGAGGGGGTGTGTCTAAGCCTCTAAGGGATTGATGGGACAAATGTGATGCAAGTAAATGAGTGATCCACAATCGAGAAAAGGCCAAGGTCTCCGGTCATACTCAACTCGAAGAGTTTGTGGTCTGCCATTGTTGACCAATAACTGCATAACCGACAAACCCCAAGGCTTGGACAAAAACTACCCCACGATCTCGCATAACTGTCGTTCTTCTCACGACATAAAAATAACACTTCCCCCATTCGGGCCTCTCACGCACACAAAAACTCTGAGAACCGGAAGAAATCGCAAGCAAGGAGTTTCGGAAGACTCACCTTGGACAAATCGCCAAGCCCGTCGACCTCGTTGGACTCGCCGTCCCTCCCTCCGACGCCTGCCTTCTCTCATATGAACTCTAGCAAGTCGTCATCCTCTGTCTTCTACAAGCCTGAAGTCCATCCTAGTTATAATATAATAGTATAATATAATATTAATATAGTGTTATAGTATATTAATATAACATTATAATATTATAATATAATATATAATTATACATATAAAAAAAGAGAATGAGAGAAAAGAGAGGCAATTTTCAAACTAGGAACTTGCAACAAGTCTCCAACAACCAGCAATCAACAATCATTGTTAAGTGGAGCTTTTGAAGACCCAATCTCCTCGTCGTTGATTCGCTCTGGTCGAGTCGAGCCACTCCTTACCTCCTGGCGCCGGGGAGGGGATGCTGGGAGGCTGCCGAAATTTCCTCAAAATTTCAGGACTTGACCAAATTTTCGACAAGTAACCGACATCTAATTATTTGTAACCAATCATCGTTAATTGGAGCTTCCAAAGATCAATTCTGGGACCCGACAGCAACTCGAAAACCCTGGCCGTCCATTCGCTCCGACCAGGCTGATTTGAAATGGCAAATGGGATGCCAGGAGGCTGCCAAAATTTTCTTAAAAATTCAAGACTTAACCAAATTTTTGAAAAATTGGAAAAACACTAAATGAAAATTTAATTTTAATTAAAGTTCATTTAATCAATTTTTTTTTAAAAAAAGGAATCTACAATCAAGCATTTGCAATCAACTACAATCTCCATCCAATCATCGGCAACCATTCGATCTACAACCAATCTTCGTCAATCAAAATTTCTGAAGACCCAATATCCTCGTCGTTGATTCGCTTCAGTCGAGTCAAGCCACTCCTTACCTCCCGACGTCGGGGAGGGGACATCGGGAGGCTGCCGAAATTTTATCAAAAAATCGGGACTTAGAAAAATCTTTTGGACTTGTACGAAATTTGGAACAAAATAAAGAACACTCCACCTAATTAATTTCAATAAAAAAGTAAGGAGATTTGGAATTTCAAGTGGCATTGCACAATACACCCTTATGTATTACTGAAATTTATTATTTATATGTCTAAACAAATGTCTATATTCAAAAGATATTGAATTGAATGACATAATTTAATAACTCCTAAAGATATCAAGAGCTAGCACGATCCATAACTCGGAGTGACTCAAATGCATAGTGAAGGCTTAAAATACATGAAAATGATTCAATAGCACCTCACCATACTAAACATCACTCACTATTTATAAATCTCAAATAAAATCTAGAGTCCGACATAATGATGAATATTATGAATAAGATACTCCGCATTAGCATTCTCTTGCTTTAAGCAATTTTGTTATGACAAAATGGGTATCTTGGCTCTCACAAAATATTTTCATGATAATTGCAATAGTACCTCTTAGATCATTTAGGAATTCTTAAAAGATACATGAGATCTCAATCATTAAGTTGGTAAGGACATTTGTGTAGATGATCTTCTCATAAATATGTTTTGAGACTTATGTTTTGATATAAAAATAAAGGTTATGATTTTAGTAGCATAGGTGTTGACGGTGCTACAAATTTAAAGTCAAGGGAATTACAACATATGTTGGAGGCTCATTGTAGATGTTTATATTAACTACAATAAATAGGAGTTGAAGATAACAATTTGATTAGGATATCAAACTTGTTCATCCATGAAAATTATCCATAAGATCTACACGATATTCTGCAATCAATAGTCTTGAAGAGATTTATTCCAAGAGTGATGATGACACTAGGACATATCTCATTTTGACTCAAATGCACTAGACCATTCATGTGCTACTAGCATTTTAACAAAAGCCTTAGTTGTCTTCTTTCTAACACCATCCCACGATGGTTACCCACCTTGTCATAAAGAAGCATATTACGAATACGTGAGAAAGGGAAAGGATCGTGTTGATCTAGAAATCATAAATTAACGCCACCGGATCCACAACATGTGTACAAGCGGACAGAAGACGTTCGTAGGCCTGTAAATGAAATCCCGGGCCATTTTCTAAACGAAATCACTTGCGCAATGGATCATATTTAAATATTTTAAAATGTCCCTTATGTATTAAATATGATCTCTTAAACTAAATATACCCTGCATGTGCTCCGGTCAATGCATTAAAGTTACAAACACTAATTACCGAGAATGTTGGGCAAGGTCAAATGCTACAACCCGCATGTGCTCTAATCGTCACATCTAAGTCCCAAATCCAACGATTCGAGAATGCTACGCGGGTCAAATATTCAAGTTTCATCCAACTCCCCGAAAGGACTGGAGTCAACACAACTTGAATTACAAAATGTCTCCCAAAATCCTACAAAAATAAAAGTGCTTTGAAGTCACCCCGATGATGGCTGTGTTGACATAAAATCTCAACCGGAGGGGTTAAATCTCAAATCCAACAAAAGTCTAAATCTCTGAAATGAAACATATCACCTTAAAACTGAAACTAAAAATCATACATCTTCCGCAACCGTTTGTCGGAGGAGATAAATTTGAAATTAATCTCATATCACAAAGAGCAAATGTGTGTCGGGTGTATCACTTTGATTCATCTTCAAATAGTCTCTTGCCAGCAGGGACGTGGGGCGTACCCTCTGATCGGGTGATTTTGCCGCAAAATGACACCATTATATTACAATCACGGCCAAAGTCTGTATGTTCCCTAAAGGCGTCAAACCCTTGAGTAATGAATCATAGGGTATATTCGATAGGCATAAAGCCCTCTGTCAGCTAAGGTAGATTCAGATATATCCCCTTAGATAAATATCAACCCAGGTCTACAAGGTATTCTTGGACGAAGCAACCCATGGCTACCGATAAGGTACCTTCTGTCAGGTTGGGTCGACTATCTCCTCTGACTAAGTAGACCAGGGATCATGACAGCCCAGGATGACGAAATCATGGGATCTTGATCGGGCTCATCTTCATTCCCCCCACCATAAGTTTTAAGTTTATGGTGATAAACTCTAAATTCCAAACTTCAAAATCCAAATCATCATAAGATTAAATTTAAACCCTAAAATTGTTGTTATTATAGATTGGATTTATGATCCATATGACCTCTTTAACAACTAGCCTTAATCGAAAGTTATCACCTATTATCAGGAGGGGTAATTAACTATAGGGGCTTGCGCCTATAGGAAAACAGAACTAAAAAAAAGTCCTCACAAAATGAGGGCGAAATTTCTGGGTAGTGTCTTATCTTAAAACCTAATATGCCTTCTGAAAATTCCCCCGGAACCTATTCTCGTTAAAACTCTCTGTCATCATTGTCACACAAACACTTAAAAGAAAAAATAGACGGATGGCGCGGAGAGGCCGGCATGGCACTTCAAAATGGAATTTTCAGAGCCCACAGCCACGGAGGGGGATGTGAATTTCATCAGGCAAATGGGTCTATTTATCTATTTGAACACAGACTCTTGCAAAGGTTAACTATGTTTTTAATGTGGTTAAGGAATCAACAGTTAGTTTGGCTCTATAAAACTTGTGATTTTGTACATACCAGCAGGGTGCCAACACCTATGGGTAACATTCGGAATTTTAACCTAAGGGTGAAGGGAGGTGAATTCATCTCTTTGGTCAAAATCTGATGACCATTTATAAAAGATGAGTGGCTTGCAAAAAAAAACTAAAGTCCCCCACTCTAGGCCATGGCATAGTCTTCCGGGGATGAGAATTTGAAAACAAAAAAAAAAACTCATCATTTAAGGATAGGAGAGTAAGAGGATCTTTCATTTTCCATGTATTTTTAATAACAGTGAGTAACGACTCATAATAAGACCTCTTGCCCATAGCGTAACTGACCAAGCAATGATCCCACTCTTTAGAAACTTCCTCGACCTCATGTTCAGGATACCATCTTGCGGTGAGATGAAACTGATACGGAAGGTTTTAGTTGTCGGGTTTCTCGAAGAGGATATAATCTTCTAAATCTTGATGTAAAATCAAATTTCTAATTAGTTATTAAATAGATAGCAGAATAATGTTATGTGTTCCAAATCTTGATGCTTATCATTTTTCATTTTTCTTTGATAACCGATCACTCTCTTTCTCATTTGGTTCGCTAATTGGACTTCGTATCATTTGTATAAACCTTTCAATCTCTCAATAGAATCAAAACACTTTTTACGTAACAACAACCTTGCTAGTCAAACTGATACTCATCTTATCATGCTTTACATTGTTATTTGCCACATTTAGAGAGCTTGCAATACTATTGCTTTTGGTAGAATTAAGCCTACCCCAACTCAGATTATCTATCAAACATAACTAAGCTAGAAAAGTTGCTTCTGTGGTGCTTCCTAAGGGTTATGCTTGATGTGATTTACTTGGTCCTATACTCCTATCTTTCTATTCTTTGTCACAACCATTAGGATCTCCCTAGTTCTACTACAACCACACTTGTGGACCTCATAGATAACCTTAACAATGTTCACTATCCAAGGTTAATTCCTCTATCCAAGCAACTCGCATTAAATATAATATTTATCTTCTTTTTTTTTCTGGTTCAAATGGGCTAAGCTCAAATTTTAATTTATATATACTTAGATGATGCTCGATTTGAAATTAAAGATTGTTAACATTCTATCTATTAGAGGTGGTCAATGCAACACTCTCTATTCTTTATCTTTTTGGGCTCATTAACTCGAATACTTTCACTTCAATTGTATTATCATTTCTAATATCATCAAAGAGGTATTAAATTGGTGTGGTATCTATTAGAGGTTGAACCCATCTTTCTCACCATGATCATGATTCCTTGGTAACAAATCCTATGTTAGCCAAATTGATTCTCACCCTATCATGCTTGCCATACACATTATTATTTAGCAAATTTGGAGAGCTTGCAATGATTTTGCTTTGGTAGAAGCCTTACCCTATCTCAAATTCTCTATCAAACCTATTCAGGCTAGAAGACTTGCTTATGTGGGATTTTCTAAGAGTTGTGCTTGATGTGATTTACTTCCTAGCTTTCTAATTTTCACTAATTTTGTCATTGTTCTTTTTTTAAATGCTCAAAACAATTTTTAAGTATTTTGAGTTTTTTTTTTTTTAAATAATCTCCACATCTGATATCAATTGCCTCAACCATTGGTCACCGTTGCTATCATTATCAGCAACCATTGACATTGCTTTCACATTAACCACCACCACTAGCAACCACCATCACTATCGCTCGGGTTACCACCACACCACCAACAACCATCATCATCTCATAAATAAACTTATTAAAAATTCAAAAAATAAAAATAATTAATATTTAAGATATCAAATATATTTTATTTTATGTCAAAGCATAAAGTGATCCCAACCGGCCTCTTCATAATATGATTGAAGAAAACCAAAAAAGCTTGGCAAAACAAGTTCAAGATTTGATAGCGACTAACATATTTCTACATTTGAGAACCCATCAAACCTAGAAGGCTAGAATGAAGTTCAAATTTGAAATAAATGTCCAAAAGCATAAATAATATATACCAGCATGGGTTACTAAACTAACAAAAAACTAGAGATGAGAGATTTAATGAATTAAGTTAAGAAAAAATAAAAGACTCAGAGTATGAAGATGAGAAACATACCCAACTGGTTGAGAATTGATGGTAGCAAATCTTGTAGTTCTGTCGAAGGCAAAATATCAAATATGTAAGTATCATTCTTAATTGAAAAAGAATACAATTTTGATCAAAATGTGTCTTTAAATCATTAAATATGTTTTAAGACAAGGACTATACATGAAGAAGTTATTTACATTCATCTTGAAGCAAATCAAACAGTTTGCAGGTCTGGATTTCATGGGCAAAGTTTTTTTTGAAATTTCATGAATTAAATTATTGCTAACATGTTATCATGTAAAAATTGAAAGGTTGAAGATGAGCAATCTGTATTTCATTTCATCACTATTTAAAAGTAAAAAAAATTATTCAGATAAGATGGTAAGTGAGATTACTCTTTGTCTGTGGAGAGCCACTAATAACCCAAGTATTGGCTGCGATGGAAGCTTGCACTACAATAGAGAAATTAATGTCCCAATGAGATTTGAATTCCTCTTGACATAGTGTGAGAAAATAAAGAATAATGAGTTTTGGATATTTACCTTTAGGGTTCTGGAACTGTATTACAGAATCATCTTTAAATATGTTGACTTCTTCAATTGCAGGAATGGCATTGACACCTATCCTCTTCAGTGTGCTCTGAAGCTTCTTATCATCAGTCGTAGTTGTCTTATGAACAGCCTTCTTCTTCCTGACAGGCATCACAATGTAACACATGGCCAGAAAAGTAGGTCAGTTACCTTTAAAATTTAAAGGCAACATAAGTTCCTATTAATAAACGTCTTATCAAAATGCACATCAGTAACGGAATAAATCTAGTCAAAATGGGCGGAGTATTGGCAATTCTACAATGAAGAATATGCAGGTAGATAAGTGCAATTGATAATCCAAGTTCCACTTACGGAATACTTTTACTCCTCAAAAGTGACTAACACCAAAATAAACTTAATTGTTCTATTAATTAATAATGTGAAAAATCCCAAAAAAATCACCTGGTTAGTCATGTGTGATCAACTTAATTTCAATTTTTAATTTAATTAATCGACTATATGAAATTTGATCCAATTTTGTATAGCCAAGGAACTACATTAGAATCAATTTTATATCTCAATGTCTATTAATTTCTACTCAAGAGATTATTTGGAATCAATCTTATATAGTTGAGAGACTAAATTGAAGAAATATAATACTCCGCACTATTTTGAGCTTTTTTTTTCTCAATTAATAATACGAGTTATTGGCATTGGAGCAATGAAATCCCCTGAATTTCAAACTGAGGGAAAGATCTCCAAAATCTCGCCATCTCAGTGGAGTGGCAAAATCGTAACAAAGACTTCAAATGGCATGGCACCTTCAGGGCATACTCATGAAACAACAAATACCTTAAAAGCTGCGTAAAACTTTTTTTTTTCCAGGGCAGGAATGACTCAATGGAATACATTCTCAACAATTGACTATCTTGGGCGGACGCAAATTTATACATATATAATCAATCAACTTTTATATAATACTCATCTTAAAATAAATTTAATAAATAAAATTATTCATCTTAATTAATATTGGGTCAATATCAGGAAATATTTCATCTTCCTGAAGACAATCCACCATGCATAGCAATCAGCAATAAAAAAACTATGGACTTGTCAGAACACTAAAAAGGATTTAAAACATTGATAACAAACAGTGGCACCAAAAATCCTATTAAACAGGGAGAAGAAAAAACGAACAAACCTCCGCATGCTTCCTTTTCCACCAGTGCGGACGGCACCGGCCATCTTTTGGAGCCTCTCAACATTCATCTGTAGGAGAAGCATCCACAGTTTTAATAAAGGCAAAAAGCTTGCAAAAAGTATGGATACGAGTAAACACAGACTGAAATTTTTTTAAAAATATATAAAAGCAAGTTGCGGATTGGCAAATGCCTAAAGTACAAAGAGAGGCTATAAAAATATTGTAAAAATCTACTGATAATGGAGGCCATTATAGAAATGAAGCATATTAGACTTCCCTGTCAACTAAAACCAGTATGAAAAGGATGTCATGTTTTTGTGCATAAAGATCATAAATAAATCATATATATAGATATATAGATAGATAGATAGGTTTCTACGATAATATAAATAGTTAAGCCACATAAAATTGGAAATTTTGTGAGATACAAAGAAACAATTAATTATTGTGAAAACTGGAAACGAGCAATCATAAAACTATGTCGCAAGGGACTTTTTAGTGGGGACACAACCGAACTAGCTACCCTCCAAAGTCATTTAGATGATAAAATTTACCTATTTTCATTCATTGTTATTTTCTGGGGTCCATACAATGTTGGGCCTTCCCGAGGATCGTATGAGGATATAAGATTCTATCAAAAGTTTCTCGTGAAATTTACCTTGCATGTAGAGAACTCTGTGGAATTAACAGTTTGTTCAAGATCCACTTCAAATAATTCCACTTCTTGAACATCAATGTGGGCATCACCTCAAAATTGCAGTTTAGATAGAATCTTGAGCTAATTCGTGCTGCAAAGTTGCCAATATTAGGAACAACTACCTTGGCATTTTTTGAAATGCTTTGGGTGAAGAGTGATTGTCTTAATAAGTTAGAAGATGGTAGGAGGAAAGAGTTGTATGAAAACAATCAAGTGCTAGTGTCAATGCTCTGTAAATGTTGCAATCATGGTTATATTCTTGAATTGTTCTTTGAGAAGGCGCTGTAGCTTTCTTTAATGGTGCTACCAAGGAGATGTGTCTTCGTTGATTGTAAAATGAATAGAATACTACTTAGTGATGAATATTTGGATGTTGAGGTCCTAATGTGTATACCATCATTGAATTTTACAATTGATGATTGATGTAGGTGGAAATGTTTCCCACAGATAACGTCAAAATATTATGCGCTAGATATATTCAAGGCAGCAGAGAGAGATGTTATAATCTTAGTTTTGAAGAAAATCCTCACATATACAATTAAATTGAGAGCAACAAATAGGAGACATGATATCTTTTACATAGAAAATCAAGCAAGGAAAAATACCATGGTTTCTAGCCCAATTAAAACAACTCTACTAATATGAGTCAAGAATTTCAACAAATGTACATCCACATAATTAGAGTATATATTAATATAACACATATACATAAACCATGAAACATGTATCCTATAACGGTAATATGAAATCCTTGGGGGTCAAAGTTATTGACTGATGAGTGGGTGATCATCTAAGGCCAAAGTTACGCATGAAATGTCGGACGTCGGTCATTGATAGGCTTCAAGTGACGGTTGCCGATTCGCTTTGCCATTCCCCTCATAGGAGTTAAGATTAAGTACCAATGAGATGAATATTGGACATGAATAGTCGACAAATGTTGAATGTCAATCATTGGCACGTATCAAGTGACTGCTCTACTTGTTCATTCTCCTGATAGAAGGGGTGCCCAAGAAAATGAGCGTTGGTTGTATATGTATGATGCACGTCAATCATAGATTATTGGTAGTCGTTAAATAATGATCAATAAAGAATGTAAAAATCAGACGATTGGGGTGGTTGACTTAGTACTCCTGATAAGAAGGGATAGTAGAAAACTAATAAGATGGAAGTCAATGGTTGAAAGATGATCCATCTCAGTCATCAGTGAAAAGTGATAGGGAATTTAAAATGTCGAATGATTGTGGGTGATTGGCTTAGTCATTCCCTAGCTAAGGGGAAGCTAACTGACCTAGACGATGAATGTCGGGCATCATTCATTGATATACATTAGATATTAGTCATTGACATCTTTATTTGAAGATGAATAAGCTATATCAAAAACATTTGATTTCCAACCCTCGCCCCGCAACAATACACACGTACACAAACCAAAGGAAAATCGCTCCGTACTAACTTTCTTCAAATGCTCGGCTGCCGCTGTAATTAATAACAAGGTCAATTTAAATGCAGTTAAAAAAGCTCAAACTACAGAGAAGAACAAAGCTCGGCGTACTTTACAAATTACCCAACCAAAAAAAGAGAGGACAATTAGCTCAGTAACTGCACAATTGAAATACCCCCATCCCATCATAAATCCCACATTGAACGGCTAGGACTGATCCACACAAACCAGCATGATTTTCTTCAAAAAACCAACAGAACCCATCTCCGCGATTCAATAATAATAATAATAATCTGGATGGGGGAAAGTGCACCCGGCAATTATATTCCAATTCAAGAGAACCCAATACATTCCTTATGCCCGATTTCTCGCCTATCGCAAAACTCGCCTGAATGTCCAAGAACGTAATAATAACAAGGAATCCCAGACTTCCCAAATCGAAGTGAAGCACAATCGATCTATCTTAATCTCCGATTTTCATCAAAAGAATGAGGTCGTTATCCTTTTGACATAATTGATGCGCATAGCAGAATGAAAGATGAAGCTATACAATCGAATCGATCTCAGCAGGAACGATTCATTTCCAGCTCCTCGTAGATTCTTAAGTTTGACTGAAAAGATCCTTAAGATTAATAGTGGAAAGTAGAAGATCTTACCTCCGATGATGAGTCTGTGAGTGGACGGCGGGGCCTTCGGCGCCTCAAGGGTTTCAGCTACTCCAGCTCCAGGGTGGAGAAACTAATTTATCCCCGAGGGCCGAGAGCTTTACCATTTTATATCAGGCGGTCGCTCTCGACGGTGCTTTTAAGCCGAACCGTAAACAAAAACTGCCGGCCCGTTGAGTGGCTCGACCCGGTTTAATTAACCGCTGACTTTAAGCATTCACATTACATATATATATATATATTATCATAGAACTTTCATACACTTATATATCTATTCTAAAATTTATTATTTATTTATATTTATTTTATTTTATTTTAGATAAATTAATAGATATGTTTATATGATTTTAAGATTTGATTGTAATGTAATTAAATATAAAGATGTAGATTTTACACAAATAAATATATAAAAATTTAAATAATTAATTAGCACTCACATTAATATTTTTGTTTCTACAAGAGTAGAATTTCTATTTTCTTATAAATTTATATTTATGTTTGTGATGTTATGTTATCTCTAAGCACAAAACAAAACACATTATCATTCTGATCATTCACATAAAAATTGTACATTAATTGAGTTTAATTTTTTTTGTATTTTATTTTTCGTGGAATAGATTGAAAGAAAGAAAATAAAATACTTATTTGGGCCCCACAATCGGTGCATAATCTAAAGCATGTAAGTTCAGGTTCGGGTCCAACCCGAGTTGATTTGAATCCGACCCGTTTAGCTAAACAAGTGAAGATTTCCAACCCGGACCCGACCTATGCGGGTTGTTAGGTTGACTAGACCCTACCTGCGAACCCGTGGGCGCAATGATGGACTAGCAGAGCCATTGACGCGAAGGAGGACATGGGCGTCGTGGCCTCGTGGGTGACTGGCTAGGACGATGACCGTAGAGGAACCAAATCAAGATTGTTAGGCGATCTATCTAGGGACGTGATACCTACCTCGACGTCGAGACACAGCTTTCTCTTCCGCTGCAGCCTGTAGGTCGAACCTTCGATTGAGACATCGGGCGACCTGGCTGAGGCACATGACGGACTGGCGGAGGCATTGAGGCAAGGAGCTCGAACTTCATAGGAATGAGCAATTACGTCGCGTGCCGTGGTGAGACCAGTGGGCGCAATTGCGTCCCTCGTGTGTCGCATGCGTAAATGGGTCAATTCGGGTCAACCATGGTCAACCTAAACCCGACCCGTTTCATATACGGGTTGACCTAAACTCGGATTTTTTTTCCAGATCGTGTTCGGGTTGGGTTTCGGGTCGTGTCAATTTTTTACACCTGTATTCTGGAGCTAATGCCGAAATTTTATAGTAGGCTCGTGTTATATTAGGCTTTATTTGGAGTTCCTTCTAGAACCTTCTCTGACACTTATTTATATTGACCTTTATTTGGGTTTACTTTGTGTTGGAATAGAATTTGTTCGATGTAATATCATTCGTCACTTTAGGTGTTCTTCACTTGTAGTGTGATAATGGAGGACGATGAAGTCGGTAGGCATCACCATTGGTGTTGATGATGTATACTAACTGTATAAGTGGTGTACATCAACTTTGTTAGTGATAACTAGCGATTAAGTTTGTGGACGCATGCGTTTGTACAAACAACATGCTTTGATTTTACAGGCAATGACATGAATGTATGTTATTGGCAAGAATGACCGACAAAATAGGTGGGAGTTGGTGTTAACGACATTAATTGATCTTATAGGCAATGATGTTTGTTGGTGTTAATTTTAATGGTTGGTGTATGGGTGACAAAGTTGGCAGACATCGGCAATCAATCAGTGGTGGTCGCGAGATCATAATTGAGTGATAATGGACAAGAAATTTGAGAATATTTAATGACTTATAGTAATCACAAGCACTGTATTCAAAAATTAAAAAGCATAAAGCATAATACACATAACAAGAGAAAGAAAACTAAAGCTTTAATCGGTCTCAAACATTTCTTAATAACTTTCCTCACACAATGTTGTAGCAAATTATAGTATATATATCATAATAAAGTTGTATTTCAATTATATTGTAGTAGCGACATTTGGTATCAAGGTTCTATGGAGATTGTCTAGTATAAAATGTAGTGGACATCAATAGCTTTTGGAATATCTTGATGAATGCTGAAAGTATTATTAATAAGATTGTAGTCAAATTACAATGATTGGATGATGGTAATCAGCTGATGAAAGTCATGCAATGATAATTAAGAGATGTGGATCTATCGACAAAAGTTGAGGGATGTTAGTAAGTTAGCAAAAGATGGATAATGGTTGTCTAACACCAGCAACGATAATGATCATTGGCGTCGAACATCAAATGAAACTCTGCAGAACTTCTCTCTCTCTCTCTCTCTCTCTAATTTTAAGTTAAGATCTAAAATCTTTCTTATATGGAGAATATAAGCCTATTTATTATTTTCTTGAGTAATAAAAAATGTCATTTTTTATATTTTATAATCTTATCATTTTAGTTTTTAACGATATATTTACCTTTCATAACATAGGTCATATCTAACGCATTTATTTTTCTAACTTGATCATGAGAACTCAGAAGGCTGATATTTTCTATGACCAAACTGTCTAAGACAATTTTCTCAAATCCTATTTGCGATTGCAACTACTCCGACTCGATAAATATGATAATATTATAATTAATGGATAAATTATCTACAAATATTCCTCATACGATATATTCTCTAATGAAAAGTGTGCACACCATGCGAACCTAATGATGATTTGTGCTTCATTAAGTGAGCATAAATGATCATTAATGGCATTTTTTTCATTAATGGCATTTATTTTCGTGCAAATTCTAAAATAGCATTCACCCATTTTTTAAACAAAAGAATTCTATTTTCTTTTTTTCCATAAACTTTGTCAAGATTTGATGGCATAATTTATGGTATGCACTTTTCAAATGTGTTTCGGGTTTTCGATTTGGATTCATTTGGGTTCGGATTTAGTTGAATTTGGTGTCGTTGGATTCGTATTTTTGATATGTTTAGTTCGACTATAAGTTTCCTGAAATCATAGTTCGAATGGTCCCAAATTTAATTTTAAAAATTTCTAACTTGATTTTGCCTTGAGATTCGTGACTAGTTAAGCTAAATTTTTTATAATATCTCAATAATGATTTGCAAAGAAATAAAATTACAATTTATATATTTTTAAAGAAACACATATTTCAATTCATACTTCATGATACATCATCAAAAAATTACCTTGATCGGGCACGTATCTCGAGGCAAAATCAAGTTGAAAACTTTTGAAATAACATTTGGGATCATCCGAACTCTAATTTCAACAAATTTTTAGCTGAACTGAGTGTCTCAAAAATACGAACACAACGACACCAAATTCGACTCAATCCGAGCTTAAATTTGTCCAAATCAATGACCCGAAGCAATATTGGAAGGTTCAAAGAGCAATTTGGATTACCAAACAGTTTTCAAACACGACATGTTTATAATCGAATCGAGCGGATCGACAAGTCGAATTCAAAGAGCCCAACATCATTGAATTGCGATATTGCTAAGATCTTCAAATGTACAACGAACGATCGGTAATCAAGGGGTTCAACATCGGTCGTCCATCCAAACCACTTTCTATTTACCCTTGATCTTACTCCTATTTACGGGTCATGCCACTCTATGAAATCTATAAATAGACTCATCTTTTCTCTTTAAAGAAGGGGGAAAAGAATAGAGCAATAGAGAGATCGAATATCGCTCTTGCCACATAGTTCCTCCTCAACCATCAGTCGGACTTATGGCGGATTGCCACATGATGCCCAGACTTTTGCTAGACCACCACATGATGCCCGGACTTTTGCCAGACCACCTTATGACACCTGGACTTCTGCCATATCACCTTATGACTCCCCAGACTTTTGCGGGACCACCACCGGATGTCCGGACTTCTGTCAGACCACCACGAAATGCCAAGACTTATGCCGGACCATCACTTGACGCTTGGACTTCTACCAGACCACCACCTGATGCCCAGACTTCTGTCGGACCACCACCTAACACTCGAACTTCTGCCAGGTCGCCACGTGACGTTGGACTTCTGCCGGGCCGCCACCTGAAGCCCGAACTTCTGCCGGGCTGCCACCTGACGCCCGAACTTCTATCAGACCTCCACCTGACGCCTGGACTTCTGCTGGATTGTCACATGACGCCCGAACTTCTGTCAGGCCATCACCTGAAGAGTTAGGTTTCGTTTGGGACGACTTTCTTACTACTTCTTAAAACAGTTTTCTAGTATAAAAATTTTAATTTTAAAACTAGAAAGTTATTTTGAGAAGCAATAAAAAAGTCGTCATAAACAAAACCTTAATTGATCACATACAAAATTGCTCAACAACATAAGATTTTGGATAGTCGTCGAAAGTCATTTTTAGCTAAGGACGTTGGTTGCAGCTAGACCTGTCAATATTTGACCCGATCCGAAAAACTGACCCGAAAATTTCGGGTTCAGGTCAACCCGAACCCGAACCTGGTCCGGGTTAGGGATTTCAATCCGTTTGTAAAACCGGGTTGGGTTCGGGTTGACCCGAAAACCCGAAATCAACCCGATTTTACCCATTTTTAATTAATTTAGGAGGGTTTTAATGGATTTTTATAAAATAAATAAATGATGTTTCAAAAAATTATAAACATTATTGCCTAAATTAAATTAATCTTGATTTATTTTAAATTAATTGAAGTAAATCTTACCTTAATTTGATTTAGATTTAAATAAATTGAATTAAATTAAAAATTTAAATAAAATATACCCAAATCGGGTCGGGTTCGGGTTGACCCGGACCCGAAGCGGGTCGGATTCAGGCCGGGTTGAACAATGTCGGGTCAATTTCGGGTTGGACCCAAACTCGACCCGTGACCTAGTTTTGACAGCCCTATCATAAGGGAGCGGGGTCAGCACTAGGGTTAGGGATTTGACGAAATGAAAATGAGAAGAAGAAGAAACCGATTTGATTTATCCTGAACAATTTGCAATTAATCAGAAAAGTTCATCGCACGGTTCATTTATATAAGAGCTCTACAACAATAATATTATAGTGAGGCACTATCAAAACATAACCAATAATAAACATAAAATAATAATAATAATAATAATAATAATA